CGACAAGCACTCATGTCCAAGCCTATAAAACTTAACACCATTGCAAAGTAACCATCATTAAGTGATAACCCCCGCCTTTCACCAAAAAGCACAAAATACAACATGTTTCCCTTCGTGTTTTTTATTTTTCGATTACATCAAAACCAGAAATTACTACAGGTATACTCAAACTGATGATAGATTTCTATTTCTATAATTGAATCCCTACCACAACAAAGAGTAATTAGGCACACACACAAATCCATGCACATACATACGAGCTTGAAGTGTAAAATCAGTTAATGATAAAACAACAACAATACATCCGAATAAACGAACCACAAATGAAGAATTTTACCAAGATTCTTGGTTGCTGCGCAGTCCCTTCTCAACTCATTCTCGCCTTTGTCGCCGCTAGAGCTTATGGACTCCTCCTTTGTGAAAGAAAAGAGGGTTAGATTATATTTGTATGAGGTAATTTTGTAATTATAGTGAGTTGAAAAGTACATATTAGTACAATCGGTTATAAATTTTTACTTCCACTCCAAAATCCCCTAAAATTGGAAGAGAGTTGTTTTTCCACCAGGCATGGAATTTGAGGGAAGATCTTACCTCCCTTCAATAAAAATAAAATAAAAAATTGAACCAAGCATCATTAAATTAAAATATTCCCCATCTCTTCTACTCCCATCCATTTCTCTCGAACCAAACATTCCGTTAGCGATGTTTTTAATGAGGTACAAAGTGTAACATTATTTACATATATCGTGCAAATATTATTTCTCTCGAACCAAACATAAACATTCCGGTAGCGATGTTTTTAATGAGGTACAAAGTGCAACATTATTTACATATGTCGTGCAATATTATTTTCTTCAACTACTTTTTTTTGCATTGAATTTTATTGGAATTTTTTATTTTTTATTTTTTATTTTTTATTTTTTATTTTTTATTTTTTATTTTTATTTTTTTTTTAACATGGCATAGATATATTGTAATAATGTTCAAGCCTTCAAGGGGAAGTGCCTTGAATAATTGGGTTGTGAATATTAACTTTACAATTCATAGGTTTAAAGTCTATTAGGTCAATAAAGAGAACTTCCGAGGTTCTTTATTATTTATTTATTTTCCTTTCTTTATCCATTATCTTGGTAATCTCTCTTACATAATCATGTTAACACATTCATATTACAGCTGAATCCAAAGTACTTTTCTATATGCATTCGACCCAATAAAATATATAAACCAATTACGGGGTCATGATTTGGTAGTTCAAACTGAGGGTTATACCGATTAATACATGGTTCGACTTTTATTCAAATATCCAATGTGAAATGTGAATTATGTTTGACTTGACTAAGTGCATTGGCAATCATATTGAATCCAATACAATTCATTAGCTTAATTAGTTTGGTCATGAATATAACTACGTGAATTCAACGACTAAATCTAGATTGATATTTGACTCGAGGAGCCCAAGTTCAATTCAATTAATGAATGTCAAATTAAAAATAATTTGTAACACATTTAAAGTTTGTACAAATATGTGCATATAATAACTACCTCATTTATATGTTTGACTAGATTAGTTCGAATTCAAGTCGACTAATGATCAAATCGAATTGAATGATTCGTTAACCTTCATCTAGACTAAGAAACGACAACGGCAAATTAAATAGCGGATTCAGATTGATGTTTGACTCAACAATATTAAACTCGATTTAGGCAATGGTCAAACAAATATTAAAATTAAGTAAATTTTTTGTTAGACAATTATATCGATTAGATAACATATTTTTAATATATATGCATGTTTTCTAATTAAATATACGTTATAAAAAATATAAACAAAAATATTACGTTTCATAACATAAGTATGCAGTTTTTGTTAAAAGTATGACGTGTCGACCCATTTAACGGCCCTAAACAAAAATTTGTGTTTAAAATTATATTTCTAACTCGTTCAACTCGATTAAATAAATAACTAAAGAGAATGTAGTTTATAATAATTGTTCAAAACGTTTCCATTAAATAATTATTTTTTTATGTTCTTTGATTTTTATGAGGTAGAAATATAAATTAAAACACCTATATAACATTCTAAGTTTTAAATGTCAATTTTATGCTTCGTAATCTCATATGTTAATTTAGGATGATTCATAGTAGTTTATGTAGATTTTTTATTTTATCGATGACTATTAACATCTTTGAAATTATAAATGACAAGTTTAACTTAAACCTACTAATTTATTCTGGAACTAAATTAATTTTTAATTTATTGATGATTTTATAATTATTGAGGTGGCAATGTCATTTTAAATAAAATAATAATATAATTTTTTTTTAAAAGTATTCAAATATCAAATTAAAATTTGGACTCTTATTATTAATATTTTTGTATAGATTTATTAATTAACATGTGTGTTAAAAATAAAGGATTATATTTAAAAGTTCATATTCAAAATATTGTAAAAAAGTTAAAAATAAAGTTTTATGTTAAAATTTTAAATACTTACAAGATTAGATTATTATTTTTTATTCAAAATGGCACCCATCACCTGTAAGATTCACTCATAAAGTAAAAATAGTAGATCTATATGTGTAAAAATCAATATCGTAAAGAACTAATTAATTCAATAAAAAAAATAACATATAAAAGAGTTATTAGACATGATCTATATCTATATTTGTATTTAAGTCACAAAATTATTAAAAAATTTTAAAGTTGTAACACTCATGAATTATCGAGACTACTCAGGAAACACTAATTATTAACACATATAGATTACGAAATACATTAAACTGACACATAAGCTTATGAAACACCATATGTATAAATTGACAAATAAGGTTATAGAGCACCACCAGTTGACACATAGACTTGAAAAACTTTACATTGGTATATAAAAAGAGATTATAAATATATTTTAGAACTTAATAAAAAAAATTTATGTTATAACTTTTTCATGTAATATATCAAATCAGTCGTGTTTTGACATTTTTGAATTTGATATGCATATTGTATATATATAAACTAAAAATTAATATATCAACATTTGTAAAATAATATCAAATTATTTATCAATACTAACTAAAAAATTAAAATCTATTATATGATACAAATTAGAAAACTTGTTACGAATGAACGAGTCTTACTGAAGACAGATGTCATTTTAAATATAAATAATATTATATCTTTTAAAAAGTGTTTAAAATTTAAATAAACATTTAGAACTTCTAGATTAATAATATATAAATATAATTTGTAGTTAATTAGCATGTATTAGATTGATGTTGTAATGTTACTAAAAGTTTATCTTTTGTAAATCTAGCTAAAAAACTAGATGATAGCCAATAAATAATTGATCGCGCATAAATTAATTTCGAGCTTAACTTATGGCTAATGTATGAAAAACCAACCTATGCGAGAATTGTTTGGATGTTACGTGTTTGACATAAAATTTAGCAGATTGAATCTCATTTCGAGGTTTGACTCGTTAAATACACTTAGGTAAAAAGCTTATATGATTAACTTTCAATGCCCAAAATGCTAATTCTAAAAAAGTCCATTAGAGCAAGATACAGAGGAGTCATAAAATAACACCACAACCTAAATTTTTTTAAATATCTATACAAATTGATAAATAGCGAACACTCATTTAAAATGTTAATACAGTCCGTTGGTAAAATCATTTATTGGAATCTACTATCCACTAATACAATTAATTATATATTTTCCGTTAGCACTAATAGCCAAACAAGGCCACAATAAAAATACCACATAAGATTAATAAATATGTCTATGGAAATAAATTTTCAACAACTCTAAAAAAAAAAAAAATTGCCTAGAAACCCTTATAAAATAAGCTAGAGCATTTTTGAACGGTTCATTTTACCAAATTAAACTTACTTAGAGTGTGTTTGACAAACACCATAAACTAGCTTATAACTTATTTGATTAGTTTTGTAAGTTTTTTATATACAAATAAGTTTGATTTGGTAGGATGGATTTTTTCAAAAAACTTGAACTTATCTCATAAGCTTCTTTAGTTATCTTTTCAAATATGTCCATTGAAATTTTTATATCAGCTGGATTATCAGTTAATTTTACCAAACAATTATCATATCAACTAACTTTTTCAGTGATAAGCCATAAGTTATCAGATATAAACTCGAAATTCACTTATAGAACTAATTTATGAGCTTCCAGTTCGATTATTAAATAGTTTTATCGAAATTCACTTATAGAACTAATTTTTGAGCTATTAGTTAGATTATCAACTAATTTTACCAAACATAACCTTAAACACAATAAATTATAAAATAATTAATTTAAATATAAATCAGCTTATCATTGTTGTCGGTTTCGTGGTCGACGGGCCTGGTTCTGGGTGTTGGTTGACGATCGTTGGGCTGGGCTAATTGCTCGAGGCTCGGACCATTGTTGTCGACTGTTTGGTTTGACGTTTTGGTCTCCGGGTGTCAGTGGAGTTGTTCGTCTGGACGAGGATTGGGCCCGCTGGCTCCCGACACAGTTAGGTGTTCTCTTGATGTTTCTGGGTCGGTCTGGTCTGTGATTCTGCCATTGTTGTGCTTGGTGTGGTCTACCGATTGGAGAAGGGCTTTCGTTATTATTTTCGCTTTTTTCGTGTTGTTTTGTATTGTGTTTGTTTAGTTTGTCTGTAGGGTATGACTGTATTTTTGGTTTGGGCTTTCGGCCTCTGCTTTTCCCGAGTGAGTGCTCTATTATCCATTTAAGATCGTTTCTCACTTGAGTTAATTTTGTGTTTTGTTGTGTTGTGTTGTTGTGGTGTTTCTAGTGTTGCTAGGTCCGGCTTTAGGTGACCTTCGAGTCTACCTCCCAATTTATTCAGCCGTTAATTGTATCTTTCAGCCTTTGACTGGTTTCATAAAACATCTATGNTGATATTTATCAAAATCACTTGAGTAGATAAAATGATAAAAAAAAAATAAAAAAATCCAAATAATAGGAAAGTAGCAAGCACCCCCTGCCCTGCCCCCACAACTTTAAAAACCTCCCCTTCCCATCAGAACCCACAAGTCTTCCTTTCTCTCTCTTTATCTCTCTCCTCCCTTCTCTCTCTTTCATGAGATCACCTCTGTAGACTGTAGCAGCAGTCTCAGAAAGCTCCGTACCAGAGAAAAATATGGGGAAATACATTCGAAAACCTAAAACTTCTGGTGACCTCTCCGTTAAGGATGTCTCTCAATCCTATCTCGGTGTTCGCACCCGGGCCAAAACCCTAGCTCTGCAGCGCCTCCAGTCGTCCTCCGCCGCCGCCGCTTCCCATGCCTCGCCGCCGACGACCCCTCCGCCTCCGCCTCCCAAGACTGATTACCTCGAGCTGCGCTCCAGGCGCCTTGAGAAACCCCCTCTCCGGAAGAATTTTCTCAATTCCCCAAAAAACCCTGCTGCTACAGAAAAACCCCAATTCGAGAAACTTTCGCCGGAACCGGCTGTCCTTCCAATTGAACCGGCCGGTGAAGATGATGGGCGCTATGAAAGGCTCAACGGCGGGGGTTCGGAAATTGGGGATTCTGAAATTCAGGCGTCTTTAGGAGAAAACAATTTGGATTTGGAAGCCAGGGAAAGGTATATTCTTTTTAAATCTCATCGATTTTATTTTTATATTTTCTAACAATTTATCTATTTATCGTCTCGTTTTTTCCCTTTCATTTTTTTTGGCCAACAATTTTACTTGAGCCGGANAATCTGGAAATTTTCATGAAAAAAACGACTGTCCTTTTCTCTCTGTGTAAAGCAGTAAAAAAGGTATTTCTTTGGGGGTTAAAGGAAAGGATTATTGGCCTTTTGGGTCTGTGTATCTGATGGTTTTGTTTGAAAGATTTCCTTGAAGAGCATATATTCTCACTTTTAGAAACACTTGTAGAGTTTCTTTTTCATCTTTAAAAGTGTTTTTCCTAATTATACCATTCTCGTGTTTCCATTTATTTTTATATTTCCTCTGGAAATTTTATTTCGACTCTCATTTTCCCTCCGTTGTTAGTTAATGAAGGTGGTTGTAAATTGTTATTTTTATTGGTTCAGGTAATTAGTTGGGAACTATTGTTGTTACTGCAATATTGATAAATCTGTTACCAGAAAATATGGCTTGTATTTTCTTTTTGTTTCTTTTTTTGTTTCTGATTCATTGTGATGTTGAGCAGTTGAAAGCGTACTAAAGGCACAACCTTTTTGGGTGGCTAGTTTCTCAGTTTTCTAACTAATTAATTTATATATTTGATTTGTGTTTGGTATGTGTTTTGTATTGTCAGATTTTTAAAGATGTTGATGCTTGATTAACTTTTTTTCTAAAAACATGTAAGCTTACCTTAACTACAAAGGTGTTGATGCTTGATAAATGTTTTTCTGAAAACATGTAAAGCTGACTGACTTACTGTTTAATATGCTATATAATTTAAGACATTGTCATTCTTGCTTCTGGAACCCCATAGCAGCCATAGCTTCTGTAAATAAACAATGCCATGGATAATACATTTAAATTGTCGTCTCTTTGTACTTATAGTTATTAGCATTTAGCCGACTGTTGCAAGGTTGATAAAATCGAAAGAATGCACATTGCTATTGCAAATACGGAAACTAGTTGATGGTTAAAGTTAAAAAAAAAAAATCCAGAAATTTTAAATTGTGTATAATGAGCCTTTTCAGAATTCAGTTTGAGCAATTGACTTTTTACATTAGCCTAATTTGGAACAGGTCTCTTTTTGCAAACTCAATATTAAGTTACTAACTGATGTTAATTTTTGTGCTTTGAGCAGGGGCACAAGAGAAAGCACCCCATGCAGTTTTATCAGGCCTGATGACAGCATTTCGACACCTGGATCTTCTACTAGGCCCAGAAGTCCCAGTTCAAGGGCCCAAAGTGCGCATAGAGAAATTCCTACTGCTCGTGAGATGGAGGAGTTTTTCGCCCAAGCAGAGCAGTCACATCAGCGCCGTTTTATGGAGAAGTACGTGCTCTCTCATCTACATCCAATTTACTATTTTCAAGAATTATTTGCTAATAAATACGTGATTTTTTGTACTTGTGCAGGTATAATTTCGATATCGTGAATGATGTGCCCCTCCCTGGACGTTATGAGTGGGTGAAAGTGTTGCCTTGAGCCAAGAATAAATTGCTAAACTCTAACCTTTGATGCTTTTTAGGTTGTCATGGTCGATTAGATCGAACGTAGGATTACAATGTTACCCCTGCAATCCCTTGTTTGACAGTGTAATATTTACTGATGTTTAGAAAAATACTAAGGCCTCAGGGAATTGCAGGACTAGACTAAGTCACTAACCATTTGAAAAGTAGAGATCCCAGCACAGAATGTAACATTAGGCTGATGAAAAAAAGTTGCGTCCTTGTAATTTTCAGGCAACCATATTTAGGTAGCTATTTATCCTTTCTGACTCTGGTTTATGATATCATCTGGTTTAGTGTGGGAAATAAAGTTTAAATTTCATATCTCTGTGTGTGTGTGTGTGTGTGTGTGTGTGCGTGCGTTGGGCTGAGGATTGTACAAGTTGTCATGTAAGATTTGAACTGTTTTTAAAGCTGATCTCTTGTTTATCAGACATCTGTGGATAATACCAGCACTTTACATATTGTGCAATTTGGAAAGTGATTAAAATATAGTTGCAGTAACAAAATTGGAAGAAGATTGAAAAATGTATTCATCATTTATATCATGTGTGCTTACAAAATCAATTGCATCTACTTTTTTTTCAACATAGTTATTTAGCCTTTGCCTGTAGCTATCAAATATTTATGGTTTGTATACCAGAAATCCTTGGTAAAATCTAACTAGGATGCCTCAGGTTCTGAGCCTTGTCGGGGTTAGATTTTTCCATATTCTACTATATATGAAATGTATATGCTTGTCTTTTATTTCGTGAACCTAAAAAAGCTGCCGAGCCAAATTCAAGTGGGCATTTATTAAATCTAAGTACTATCGTGGAGATGACCCAACACCCTTATTTGTTGGATTCTTGCAAGTTAATTTTTGTTATGCCTCACATGGTCCATTGCACGGTCACACAAATTTTCTTTTATTCTTTTATCTTTTGTGAAAATGTGAAATTATTTTTTTCCCCCTTTTGTGTCAGGAAATTTGTGACTACATGAGTGAAATTTTAGATTTGATGAGGTGCACTTGCAGTACAATTTTGGACAATTTCTAAGTGAAATTGGTGGTGTGGGGGTCCGTGGGTTCATGATATCTTCCGGCATGTCTATACCCGCAATAATATACAAAATTATATATTTGTGTACGATTTTTCTTTTTTCTTTTTTATTTTTTTTTGCAGATTTCAGACCATCATAATTAGTGAAAATGATTTCTTCCTAGCATTTATTGTTGCAAATTTTAAGGTGCCTGTGGATTGGGACTACAAAACATAGGGAGGGGTCCTTTGGTCTCTTCGAAATTAAGGTTGTGTACTATATCTATATGGCTTGTTTGGTTGAGTGCATTGCTAAGAATGAATGGACTAATAATTAATTCTACTTAAATTAGGCGTTTGCTTACATGAATGGCAGCCTGATTAATCATTTGAATTAAGGATAGTTTACCTATTGGTGGGGAGTGATTGAGACTCTTAAGTTTGGCCAGTGAATGTAGAGTTATCTTTCCTAAGTCGAGGGTTTGTGATTTATCTTGTATAAATCTGATTTCAAAACCTTGTCAATATTGAAATCCATTATAGAAGAATGTCCCAATTTTAGATGATCAGAGAGCATTCCAAATCAAAACCGTTATCGTTATTTAATAGCACATCAATCTTATGAGATAAGACCAAGAGTTGATATCATATTACTATCCACTATGAACCGTGTATTAAGTTGCTAGATTATTGCAAATTGGCCCCAGAATAGGATTTGTGATTTGATTTCGGCACTCTAGGTCCTTGGAGCATGTTCGAGATCACGGAACTCTCACGGTGCGCCTGCCAAGAATTTTGGAAATTTCTGTTTCGCGCCTGATTATTACGTGGGGGCACCTGGCGGGGTATATTAAAGCTCGATTATTTACGTGGAGAGGTCATGACGACAGAATAAATCGTTTCGAGCAGGGCCGTCTCCAACATTTTTTGGGCCCAGAGCGAAAAATAAAATTAGGGCCCCCTAATTACAATATTGAATAATATATTTTTAATATTTTATTAATAACAACTTCCACTTCTCAAGTAGGAAAGAACCTCCCCCGGATAGACAAAACACAAAAGGCTCTTTCTATATATTATTATATTTTTTATTTATATTATTATATATATAATATTTTAATATTTATATATGGGGCCCCAATTAATTGGGGGCTCTGTGCAGTTGCTCACCCTGCTCCCCCCAAAAGCCGGCTCTGGTTTCGAGCTCCGATTTTTGCGACGAGAGGTCAGGAGGATCCGACAAGTCGTCTCAAGTTCTGATATCTTACGACAAGAGTTGGGAAAACCCAAAGAGTCGTCTTGAGTTTTGATATTTTACGATGAGAGGATCCGATAAGTCGTCTCGAGCTCCGGTATTTTACGACGAGAGGTCGGGAGGACCCAACAAGTCTTCTCGAGTTTTGATATTTTACGACAAGAGGTCAGGAGGACGCGACGAGTCATTTTGTAGCCCGATTATTCTAGTATAGTGGACAGGAAGTCTCGACGAGAAGTTTTGCGCCTCGATTATTTTCGCAGATTGGTTGGGTTGAGAAATTTAGTGCCCTAGTACAAAGGTCAGAAAGGCTCAACGAGAGGTTCCGCGCTCTGGTTGTTTGTAAAGTGAGGTTGGCTCGAGGAGAAGTTTGCGGCCCAATTATTTTTGTAAAGAGGGCGAGAGGACCCGATGAGGTTTTCAAGCCCCAATGATTTATGTGAAGAGGTCGGAAATAATATTTTCGACCCCAAGTACATAAGTTAATCCCTACTCTTTCTAGTGATCAAGTTCAATTATTATGATAAGTGTCTTAGAATTATATTTTGTGGAGAAATATCAGTTGTTTGCATATATTTGGTAAGACATTATACTTTGGTAACAAGTGGAAGTCGTGCTCATAAGCTCGGTAGTTAAAATACACAGGATGACAGAACTCCGAGCACACGAGCTCGGGGGGCCACTGGTGAAACAAAAAGCGAAAAGTTAGCCTAGGAGCCATGTAAAATGCAATGGTGATAGAACTCCAAGGATGACAGAACCCCGAGCATGTGGCTCGAGGGCCATATATTTTTCGCGGTAGAACCTTAAGCAGATGAGCTCGGGTGCCATAAGTTCAAGGTTCACAGAACCCTGTGAAGATGGCTCGGCGGCCATAAGTTCAAGGTTGATAGAATCTCGAGCAGATGACTCGAGGGCCACAAGTTCAAGAATGGCATAACCCCGAGTAGATAACTCGAGGGCCATAAGTTTATGGTTGACAGAACCTCGAGCAGTTGAGCTGGAGGGGCCATAAGTTCAGTGGTTGCATAACCCCGAGTGAATGAGCTCGGGGGCCATAAGTCCAAGGGAGCTTTAGCTCCTGGGGGCCGATCACTTGTGGTTTCTCTCGTTACTATAAGTTTTCATTTGTCGGCTATTAGTGTTGATTGAGTGTGAGTTCTCAGCTTTGATTAACACGTGTGATTCGATCTGAGTATGAGTTAACTCGTCCACCTAGGGATAGGGAATAATTATTCTGGTTCTTTGTGGGTATCTAGCTATTGAATTGTTCAACTTGTGCGAGTTGTTTGAATCTTATGGTTAGTCGATTGATCGCCATCTAATCCAAGTAAGTAACTTTTAAAACAGAAAGGTGGAGAATTTGACCTAGGCTCGTATGCGGTAGGCATGTTCGTAATTCCCTATGCGTTAACTAATTGGACAAACATGTTGTTTATGTTTGTTCTCTTGTTACAGATAGTTATTGAGGATAAATTTCTAGATGTGTAGGCTTGTCGAATCACTTAACTAAATAAATAATTGTTTGACATTTTCATCTAGAATTGAAAACAGTTATTCCGACTTCATAGTTATTCTTCTATTTCCTTATTTACTTTATAAGTATCTAATCGTTTTTCTGATTGTTGGTATTTTTTAGATAATCTCTCCCAACAATACGTGGTTAGAATGTTTTGAACTTTATTTTTCTTTCGTGTGTGATTGACATCGATTCTAGATTTTGACTCGTCTTCCTCTAGAGATAGACCCAAGATCGAGGTTCATTCCGTATTTGGATAAAATAATAACTTATACAAAAGAGGTATTCATTTGAGATTTCAACTAGTCTTAAAAATTCGTGAAATATTCAAATTATTTATCACTTGAATTTACTTTGAACTTTTTAAACCTTAATGTGATTTTAAAGGGAAATAACATTAGCAAAATCTTAATCAAATCACACATCTTGAACTTTTTAAATATCCTAATTAAATAAAAAAAAAGGTTTCAAATTAAATCTCACTTTCCAATATCACTAAAACAAATGATAATCTTTCAAACACAATCTCCCATCTCCCCGACATTATTTGAAATAGAAAGTTTAGGTTACCAGATTCTTTTTTTTTTGTTTTTTCTTTTTTTTTTACTATTAGCCTTTTTTTTTGTTTGAAAGANAAAAAAAGAAAAATAAATAAAATAAATGAGGCCCTCCCCAACAGCCGATACGTTGCTCCTAGCCACCATCGCACGAGACGAGAGACGACCCCCAAGAGACAGGCCCAACCCATGACGCAATCCTAGTCACTCACTTCACCAAAAACTGTGACGGCTAACATAAATCCACCCCCACCCGAACAAGAGGTCAATCTCGGAGCCGCACCCAGAAGGCCCACAACAAAACCATCCCCACCACAACCCCGACGATAACAGCTGAAAAATGCCCAGACACGAAAGAGGCTCCCGCCGAAGGAATCTCCCATCCTAGCTCCAGGAGACGGTCAAGATTAAGGGGAAAGAGCCGACGTCGACTTTAACAACATCCGCCAGAAAAGGTAGACAAACAGTACCCGCAGCCCCACCATTACCGTCGTTGAGTCGTTCAGAAGCCCTGCAGCAGCCGCTCAGAATGGAGAGACGCGTGGCGCCGAAAACACGACATAACCAGAGGCTCGCCGGATGAAGATTGTGCCGGAGCCGATCATCTCCTCGGTGTAACAGAGTAGACGTTTGTGAGAAGGCTCGGAGATGGCTATGACTATGGCTTTGGGAATAAGGGAATTGGGGATTTTCCGCCCCCATTAGACGTGGCCTTCCCGGTTTCGGGCCGATTCTGGGTCGGAACCGCTAGTTCCGGGCTGATAATTGGAGGACCCTGAAGTGGCCCAAACATATGCACATGCTAGTTCAGTGAACCGCTAGTTCTGGGCTGGACCGATTCAATAAAAATATAAAAAATAATAAATTTATTTTTTTAAATAAAGCCGAACCGTCGGTTTCAGTTCCGATTCGAACCGGCTTGGTCAAACCAGAGGCTTGATTCAAAGCCTATTGACCACGGACTAGTTCAGGCTAAACCAGCGGGCCGTGGCCATGTCTACCCCATGAGAGAGGTGTGAAAACTACCAATCGGCTAACCAAATTAGCTTCGAATAACTATCGAGTAAAACACTCTAAATCCTCTTACAGCCACTCAATCATGACGCTGTAACACCTGAGAGCATCCAATGTCAAATTTGAAGAAAAAGCTTGGAAATGGTGCAACTCATCATCACCATCTAACTTATCAAATCATTTGATGTGCGCACAAAATTTTGTTGACTTGTCTATATTGTTGTATTGTGCCTTTTGCTAATTTGTCAATTTCTTCTAGGATTATTGTATTTGACGAAATTATTTATATTCCCACAATGACTATGTTGTTGAACTTACTTACTGGGAATATAAAGAAAAAGAAACCGCTTTATGTCGGCAATAATTCAGTGGGCATTTTGGCAGAGAATATACTACTGGGAACTAAAGTGCGTTCTTTCCATTTTAATTGCACCGTGGTTTGATTATTAGGTGAAAAAGCTGTGTGTAATCAGCATGGAGTAAACTATTAAACAATACCGAGTTCGGAAGTTTGGTTCTAACTTGTTAACGGTTTGTTTGATAAACAAGTTGGGTTCGAACTAGTTTAGCTAACCTTGACTCGTTAAGACTTAAACACTTGTCAATATTCATAAACGAGCTCGGAGTCAAACTCAATTATTGGCTTTTGTAGTCAATAAGTTGAACTCCGCTCGACTCATTTTCACATTTAGTTGAGGCAGTTGAAGAAAAGATTCATCAACATATTAGTTTCACTTATTTGTATGTTCAGGACTGAACATACAGCGTTGCGTTCACACTAGGGACGATACCGTAATTAATCAATTCAAGTGTGAACGCACACTAGGGATGCGTTCACACTAGGGACGGTACCGTAATTAACCAATAACCAATTCAAGCAGGACGAGGTACACTTGAATTGATTAATTACGGTACCGTCCCTAGTGTGAACATACAACGAAGTAGGACGAGGTTAGAACATACAGCATTGCGTTCACACTTGAATTGATTAATTACGGTACCGCTCCTAGTGTGAACGCATTAATTAATTACGGTACCGTCCCTAGTGTGAACGCAACGCTGTATGTTCAGTACCTCGTCCTGAATTGAATTGAATTGAAAAACAAAATATATATGCATAAAAAAAATAGAAAAAATAAACAAGAGAATTTGTATTTTAGAATTTTGATTTTGTTAAACTTACACTATTAGTTTTATTAAATGACATATATGTAGTAAACTATTAAACAATACCGAGTTCGAAAGTTTGGTTCTAACTTGTTAGCGGTTTGTTTCATAAACAAGCGGGTTCGAACTCGTTTAGCTAACATCGACTCGTTAAGACTCAAACACTTGTCATTTTCATAAATGAGCTCGAATTCGAGCTCAATTACTGGCTCGTTTAGTCAACAAGTTGAACTCGGCTCGACTCACTTTAACATTTAGTTGAGGCAGTTGAAGAAAAGATTCTTCAACTTCAAACTTTCAGTTATTGAATTGAATATATATATATATATATATAGAGAGAGAGAGAGAGAGACAGAGAGAGAGAGACAGAGAGAGAGAGAAAGAGAGAGAGAGAGAGAGAGAGAGAGAGAGTTAGGATCATATGAGAATGAAAACACATAGTGAAAGAAATAAGAATAAATTTATATCATTAGATCGCACATATCAATAGTTATGATCAAGTCAAATTTGTAAAAGTGGCAGTCAAACATTAATGGCATTCTCGTAAATAATTGTGCATATGATGGTCAAATTTAATCATTTACCCACTCAATGAGGGCAAATCAACCGTTACCTAATACAAGTGGACCTCACCACTACTACTAACATACACTCTCTCTCTCTCACATACATACACACACAACTCACAACTACACACACCGTACACACACAAACAGTACTCACTGGGAAAATCAGGGCCAACAGGGCCGCTGCCGGCCATCAACATCGCCGCCGATCGACATTCCACATCACCGCCGCTTCGATAATCGCCGGTCAAGTCGTCGCCGACTCTAGCCCGCTGTGGCGAACCTCTCCGATTCCGACACTGTGGCCAACGAGAAGGTCAATGATTGCATTGTCATCGGCGCCCGACGGTTGTCTTTAAAGCTTGACGGGTAGTAACCGCGTCGGAGGTGGCGGACCTCCTCGATGGGCTCGTTGCGTAGGTGGTGGCGATGGTCGACGGGACATTAATGTCTGTGTGGTGGCGTGATACTCCCCGTGCAGGTACAACGACGGTTCTAGACTGGTGAAGAGACGCTAACGACGACGGTGGGAATCTGGCGAAGCAACAAGAGTGAAGTTGTGCGACTTCAGTTGTGCAATGGGCTGCGACGGCGGCGGAGCAGGGGACTCC